CCTGCAGCTGCCTCCCGCGGGTGGGACCCGCCCCGAGTGCGCCTGTGAGAGCCCCTCTCGTGTCTTCCCTTCCTGGCTGCAGGGGGACGTCGTGGGGTGGGGCTGGGAGTGCCAGAGAGACGCTGTCCGTAGTGCAGTGATGCCAGCTGGGAATAACTTTCACGCATTTTTGGTGATTTTAGGTCTGTTGCTCACTCACAGACTCCCTGATCGCCATCCTGTTCCTAACTGTGAGTTCAAGGGTTGTCTAGCACAGCCAAGAGCTCTCGTGTCGGCTCAGTAGAGCTGCATACTGAATTGTGCCCGCCGGTGTCTCTATCTGCTCCCAGGCTGACAGAATCGGGCCTCTCTATGGTTGACTGGCACCTGGTGAAAGAGATGAAACCCCCGAGAACGCAGCAGGAGTGGGAAGCCGAGTTCCAGAAGTACCAGCAGTTCCCGGAATTTAAAATGTGAGTGTGCAAAAGTGGAAGGAGGGTGGGCTGGGAGCATCCCTCCTGCAACTGAGCAACACAAGGAACTCTTGCAAGAAGGGAGATGTTTTCCTACATCACTGGGAAAGTACACGCATGTCTGTCTTTCTCTGAGGAAGGTGATCCCATGTCGCGGGAACCAGGACTGGCACATCACATTGAGCAGTTCTTTGTTTTACTGTCTTTAACAGCCTGAATCATGACATGACGCTGACAGAGTTCAAGTTCATTTGGTACATGGAGTATTCGCACCGTATGTGGGGCCGTGTTGTGGGTTTGGCCTACATTCTGCCTGCCGCCTACTTCTGGCGAAAGGGCTGGCTAAGCCGCCCCATGAAGGGCTGTGTTCTTGCGCTCTGCGGGCTGGTCTGCTTCCAGGTGAGCAAGCTCCGTAGCTGCAGGGGTTAGTGGCAGCATCTCCCGTGAATATCTTCTGATCGAGCATAGTTGAGGCAGTAGGATTTGTGAAAGCTTGGGGGGTATCAGTGCTGGTAGCTGGTTGAAGATGGAGGAAACCAGTTGCTTTGCCCCTAATGTTTATCGCGTCTTTGCAGTCGCTGCGGCCCTATCTGTGCTGAGGAGATGGGAAGGGTTATTTGCTGGCCCCTCTTTCTGATGAAGGGCAATAGAGTGGCATAGGGGAGCTGGCTCTGACCCCTCTCTTTTTTTGCCAGGGACTGCTGGGATGGTACATGGTGAAGAGCGGGCTGGAAGAGAAGCCAGACTCTTATGACATTCCTCGAGTCAGTCAGTACCGTCTCGCAGCACATCTCGGCTCCGCGCTGGTTCTGTACTCTGCTAGCCTGTGGACGGGGCTGTCTTTGGTGCTTCCACGACACAAGGTATGGAGTGGTGCGTCAGGAGTCAAAAGCACAGGGTCGTGTCAATTCAAAGGGTTAGGGGGGTGATGTGAAGGGTGAGGAAAGGGTGTGAAGGATGATGGTGCTTCCGTTTTAGTGTCTGTTCCTGACTGATCTTATTCTGCATTATAAAATACCCTTTCTGTAAACTTCTCGGTTATGGGATGCTTCCTTTGACTCGTGCTGTTCCGCTCAAAAGTGATTAGCCTCAGAGTTCATGCAAGCTCAGGCAGGGGTGTGCCTGGCTGGACTAAATGTTTTGTGCCAGTAACTGTCCAGTGGCCACTTCCGATTCTGCACAGGGTTGGACTCACTTAGTTGTGGTTTTGAGGAACCACTGAAGTGTGACTGTGCTGCATGGTGGTCTCTAGATTCCTCCTGTAAAACACAGGCCAACCCCTTGGCCCGTATACGTAGTGAAGGCTTTTCTTACCTGCTGCAAACAGCACTGGAAATGCTTTGCCTTGATTATTTTCTTTCTTTTTTTAATTTTCTTTTATAGTTACCGGAGACCCATCAGCTCCTTCGCCTGAGGCAATTTGCTCATGGCACTACAGCTCTCATTTTTCTTACCGCCCTTTCAGGTAAGAGTGTTTCTTGCTGCTGTCGCATCTGCGACTCGTTTCTCACTGCCTTGTTTTTCTTCCGGTCTGTTGGGGACTGTGAACAACCCCATCATGTTTTCTGGGAAAACTTCATTGCTCTCAGGGAGCTGACAGTCAAGAACCTCCCTTACTGGTCTTCCCTGAGCAGGTGGAGATGCACCTTCTAGCCTGCCTGCTGCTATGTGATATCTGTATGCGTTCCTGAAAGAAAGTCAGGGTCAAGCTGAGCTCTTGAGTTGGAGCTGTGCAACCTGGAGTGCCACCTGTGCCTACTCTGGTAGTCTCATTTTCTGCTCTGGAATTGCAGGTGCCTTTGTAGCAGGGCTGGATGCTGGCCTTGTGTACAATTCCTTCCCCAAAATGGGGGAGCGCTGGATCCCGGATGATCTCCTTGCCTTCTCCCCTGTGCTGAGAAATATCTTTGAGAATCCTACAACTGTACAGTTTGATCACAGGATCTTGGTAAGTGCCGTCTTCCTGCTGTGTCTGTGCTGCTTCTTGGTTGCCTCCTGCAGCCAAGCTGTCCTCTTTGGGCTGTGGTTCTGTCAGCTTGAGTGATATCCAGGGTGTCTGAAGGTCCTGAGAGCATGTTACCAATTTGCTTCTGCAGAAAGAGGAAGTTTAGCACTCTTATTTATTTTCCATGTAGCCTCCTTCCTCAAGGACGTCTTCCTCCTGCGCAAATTACAGGCTTTATTTCTTTGTGTCTCCTTTTCTGTAACGTGAGCTACAGACCAGGGTTGCCCTCACTACTGAATGTCTGGGAAAGCTGTGCGAGACAAGACTCGGAAAACCCGATATTGAATGCTTCCTTTGGCATTTCTGAACTTGCTTTACACTAGTAGCACCCTGTGAAAATAGCTAGTTAGAGTAATCCAGATATTAAATACCATTGCCGGCACTGCTGTGGACTAAGCCATCGCTAAAACTAAAATGAAAGTTTAAGTGACTTAGAAGAGGAATCACCTGGGGTGACCTGCATGGCAAGGTTATGCTGGTGAACTACAGCTGAGTGGTGAAAATGAGACCAACTTTCCAGATGACAGCTTCCACCTTTAGTTTTCAAGGTGACAGATGGGGAGAAGGCAGAAATAATCGCTAATGACTTGAAGAAATGAGGAAAAGCTATTGAAAAGTAAAGCATTAATTTGGAGAAAAATGGAACTCTGTATCTTCAGTTAAATTTCAGGGCTGTTAACCTGGTGGGCTTGGGAGCTCCAGGATTTAGTCATGGCCATTAACTTTTCTACAGTTAAATATTGCTCACAGAATTTATTTTACTGCTTGGACGGTGCAGCCAAAGGCCGCTGCACCCATTTCCTTTGAACTTTTCTTGAAGGGTGGTTGTTTCCCTTCTCTTCTGTAGGGAATTGCCTCAGTCACAGCTGTCACAGCACTGTACCTCTTCTCACGGAAGATCCCACTCCCGCGCAGGACCAGGATGGCAGTGACTTCCTTATTGGCTGTGGCTTGCATGCAGGTACTGTCTTCCCACCCCTTTATGTTTTTTTTTCCTCCCTCTAGTCCTTGTAGCACGTTCACAAGACAGAGCTGTCCCCAGCTTGGATCTGTGCTGGCCTCAAGAGCCTGGAGCTGAGAGCTGGAGCTGCCTAGACCCAGGGCCTCACCTTACTGCATGCACAGTCTGAATTTGAGGGTGGGAAGTCTGGCTGTAGCCACGGGCCTTTCTACATCATACTCTGTGCTGGGGATGTGTATCAACGCTGCATCCGCGGCCGCTCTTACCCCTTCTCCCTTCTTGGCAGGTGGGCCTGGGCGTCAGCACTCTGCTGCTCTACGTCCCCACGCCTCTGGCCGCCACGCACCAGTCGGGCTCCCTGGCGCTGCTCAGCATGGCGCTCTGGCTCATGAGCGAGCTCCGGCGGGTCCCCAAGTAACCGGCCCGAGGGAG